ACATGTAAATAAATGCTAAAAATATTAAGGGAGAAGCTAGCTAGGGATATATGGGCAAGATGGGAGTAGATGCTCTGATGCTAGTTTGCATACTTGTGGGTGCCTCCGCCGCCGTGCCGGTGCTGTCCGGGGTCACTTTCGGGCCGGGCGGGGTAGATCGGTGGTTTGAAAACCTTCCAAAAGCGAAACAAAAGATAACCAAACTGCACTTCTACTACCACGACATCGTCACCGGAAACAAGCCAACAGCGTACCAAATTGCCGAGTCGAATTTCACCGGCAAATCCACCACCCGGTTCGGAGCCCTCTCTGTGATGGACGATTTGCTGACTGAGACCCCGGATCCTCGTTCGAAGGTGGTCGGTCGAGGTCAGGGAACCTATGGGTTCACTGGAGTCGACGAGGTCAGCCTTCTCATGGTTCTTAACTTCTTTTTCACGGGCGGCGGAGAGTACAACGGCAGCACTCTTAGCATTCTCGGCCGGAACGCCTATTACAATGAATACCGTGAGATGCCCATCGTCGGGGGCACTGGCGTTTTCCGGCTGGCAAGTGGCATCGCCACCGCGCAGACTAATTATTTCAATCTCACGTCAGATAACGCCATTGTTGAGTACAATCTCGTGGTGTTGCATTATGATTACGAATAGTGTAAACTCTGTTGCATCACTTGCTTTCTAATTTCCCAATAACTTCAATTCCTATATTTCAATAACGAGTTATGCTTTCTAATTTCCCAATAACTTTAATTCCGTGAGAATGAGGTTAATTAAGGTCTATTCAACTTACTTTATCTGCTAGTATTTTCTTATTTTTATTAGAATGATACCAGATTAGACCAGATTAGTTCAGATCAGATTTAATCAAATTAGATCAGATTAGATCCGATCCAATCAGATCCGATAATCAGATCAGATCCAATCAAGAATTATTATTATTATTATGGGTATTATTATTATTATTATTATTAAAAATGAAAAAAATAAACTTTAAAAACAAGTTAAATAGAAAACTAAGAAAGTAATCCTTAATTAATAAATGTCAGAAAAATTAATTTTAAAATACATTGACAATGTCATTTTAATTCTAGTTTTAAAATACATTTTTTTTGTTATCTGTAATTTGAATTTCTAAAGATTTGATCTTTTACTACATGGAATTGATCAACTTTGATCATGACTTAAATAAAATGAACATTTGATATTCATATACGGAGTATACTTTTGTGTAAGTGAAATGAATATTATATATATGGTGTTATATTAATCATAACAAACTTTCATAGTATAAAGCACACGCTGATAATTTATAAGGATGAAAATTTTTACTAAAAATACTATCTCTTCTCTATATTGATTATCTAAATTTAATTATTTTTTAATGTATATATGAATTAAATATTCACTCTAATGTATATATGAACTAATTATTAAAATATTAAATCAATATTCTTATTTCATAAAAAAATATCATAAAATAAAAAATATTATTACATTATAACATTAATGATTATTCTACTATATGAATTAAGTAATTTTATTTCATTAAAAAATAATCATAAAATAAAAATATCGATTATATTATAACATGAATTATCATTACAATTTTCAAAACTTATTATAAAGTCAAATCAAATTATTGATTTGAATTTTAAATCAAATCATAATTAATCAGATCAGATTAGATCAGATCCAATTAGATTAGATCAGATCAGATTCAATCAAATTAGATCAGATCAGATCAGATCCAATCAAATAAGATCAGATCAAATCCACTCAGATCATATCATATCAGATCCAATCAGATCAGATTAGATCAAAACTATAAAAAGTCATATCAAATCAGAAAAAATTAGTTGAACGGAACGGGGCCTAAAGGGTGAGGCTCAAATGTTGGAGTTAAAATGGTATTTTTCTTAAAAAATATTTCCCCCATTCTTGAGTATTTGTCCTTTTTTATTTTTCGATCAAAATTGGTAAACTTTGATCTCAAATTAAATAAAAATAATATTAGATATTGATACAAAAATAGTTTTATTAGATTTATTATATCAGATATTTTCAAAATATTATATTATCTAGTTAATATACAATTTACATTTTATTTAGTTATAAGTCAAAAGTTAAAAATAGGTGATTGAAAAAGTCAAAATTAGACAAATATTTATAAACGAAAGTAGGAGGACTACACTTTTGCATCACTTGTTTTCTAATTTCCCAATAACTTCAATTCCTATATTTAAATACTACCTCTATATACGGAGTAAATGTCTTTTGTTTTTTATAAGATAAGATGTTTATTAAACATATGCTAGAAGTCTATATATTATATACCTTCTTTAATCACTTATAATAAAATCTTCGTTTCTTTGAACACATAACTTTCCACTCAGAATGAATTATGCAGTTTCTTGTCTTTATTTGTCCATTGTTCACTTTCATATAATAAACAAATTTTTTTGAGATAGATAGAGTGTATACATTGTTGACATGAGTTATTGACAAACTTATTTAAATGCTTTATTTGACATTTTAACTCATTTCTTTGAAATGAAATTTTCGAGCAAATGAATAACTAAACCGAGGAAATATGAAGAATATCTAGAGTAAAAGTGTATTTTCATTTCAAATAAATAATTGGTGCATGCCAAAAGAAGAAAATATAATTCTCTCAATCGTAAAATATTTTCCACATCACACAAAATGAAAAAAATTTCAAGGTTTTTCAATTTATTTTATTTAAATATTGATATGCAAAAATATAAAAAATTACATACTCCCTCTGTCCCAAAATCTTTGCTACACTAAGCAAAACAAACGAATAAGAAATACAAAAAATTACATATTTAACAACTAGATTAGAAGTACTTCAAAACAAGAAGTGGAAAGAATATTTTATTTTATTAAATAATCGATGAAAATATACAAATAAATTAAGGTTACGGTAGTGATATTAGCATTCCAAATATTACTATATGAACTCCAATCCTTCTCTTATTTAATCGCCTGTCTTCCTAAAATACCCTTACGTCTAAAGTACTTCGTTACTTTGTTGGTTTTAACTAGGAATTTTATACTCCCTTCGTCTCTAAATGATTTACACTTTACGTAATGCAAAGTAAAGTCTCACATTTTATTTAAAGATTAGTATATAAAAATATAAAAGTAACATATTTAAAAAGTACATCAAAAGTTCTACTCCCTCTGTCCCAATTTAAATCGTCTGTTTTGACTTTTGGGCATATTTAATGAAAATAAAAAATAGAGTTGATTTTCCAAAATTGTCATTACTTTTTAGAAGGGGTGATGATAAATGAGAATATACGGTGAAGAAGAGTGACTTATTTTAGGGATAGTTTAGGTATTTTATTTTTAAAAGTTTACGAAAACAACTAACAGACAACTTATTTTGGGACGGAGAAAAAAGACAAACAGACAATTTAAAATAGGACGGATGGAGTACAAAACCAGAAGCGACAAAAATATTTTATTTCATCAAATAATCAATGAGAACACGCGAATAAATAAAAACTCCCTTGATTTTTGAATAGCGAACTGTGTAAATCGTTTAGAGACGGAGGGAGTATTACTTCATTGTTTATTCATTTAACTTTTATTGATTCTATGTGTTTAATATATATGTATCATACAAAAAAAATCATTTTCTTTGAATCCGTCATAAATATTTTTTTCAACCTTTTTTTAAAATAACCTCTCCATCTCAAGTTAACTTGTTCTCTTTAACTTTACAAAGATTAAAAAACAGTGGAAAACAAATGGAAAAAATGGCTCTTTTAAAGTCATAGAGAAAAAATTAACTTGAAATAAATGGCTAATATTTTCAAAAACAAATGAAAAAAGTTACAGAAGTAGTTAGGGAAATGAAAACAAAATAAATAATTTAGGATACAGTGACTTTTTTTAATAAAAAAATTATTTAAATAATTAGAAAATAAAGTATAGTAGTACTCCATATAACTTTTCTAACTATGAAGAATGAATTGAAATATTGTACACAAGGGTATTTTAGGGAGAAAAATAAAAGAAAACAATGAGGGGAGTGCATCTAGTAATTATTGGAGTGCCAATATCAACTGCCATAAATAAAAAATTTCACAATTTTTGAATAGTAAACTGTGTGATTCTTTTTTAACAAAAGGATTATTTAAAATTAAATAAAAATCCTTCAAAAGAGAAGCTGATAAAATTATATTATTTAATCAAATACCAAGTAATCGATCAAAATATACAAACAAAATATTCATGATTTCTGTATAGTGATTATTAGTGAGTTGTGACATTGTTTTTGGGATGAAGAAAGTTTTTATTATGGGATAACCAAAAAAGGGAAACTAATTTTTGCATGAAATGAGTAGAATAAATTAGGAACACTTTTAATCCAATTATAATTTTTTAGTACTATTAACTCTATAATAAGAAATGTCCCTAGATAGGAGTAAAAAAGTTTGAAAATATCAAAATATGAGTACTATGTTTTTTAAAACCAAACTAAGAGTGTAATAGCAGTGTGAGGTAAGAATACGCATTGGCAGTGTGATGGAAAAATGATACAGTGTAATCTGTCAGTGTGTTCAATCAATCATCGGCGATCTGTAGCGACACTCCAGTGGCCGGTGGTGACAGATGGCAGTGTGGCATTGATAGTGGTACAGTTAAAATATGATAATATGGTGAGTTTGGCAGTGTAACAATGACAGTGTGAACTCTTATTAGATTTATTATATCACATATTTTCAAAATATTATTTTATCTAATTAATATACAACATATATTTTATTTAATTATA